ATATACAGAGAGAAAACCTGTGAAATTACAGACACAGATGTGTTATTGGTGTCATAATTTTTTCCCATTAAACACCGTATTAGGTTTATCCCCTTTCTATACTTGAAAATCTTCACATATAAAAGATGAATAGCAACTTCTCAAGGGGATCCCTGTGGTTTAACCTTGTTACAGGAGGTCAAACACAACACACAAACTATATTGGTACAAAGATGACTGTAAAATGGAATTAGCCTTTTGCTCCCCGTTCCAGTGGGGAGGAAGCCAACTTTCACATCTCTGAACCAGTCCAAAAGAACTCATGACACTGGTCTTGGAAAAGTACATTTTGTAGGGGAAGGACCAACAGATATTTTATATATATATATATATATAATATATATAAATATATTATATATATATATTAAAAAATTATATTTTTATATATATATATATATATATATATATAAAAGACAGAGACACTACCAAGTGGAATCCAAAGAGAAATATCAAACCATGATTTTCTCAGTACTGTATCCATTGGGATTTCAGAAGGAAGAACTTCCTTCTCCCCCAGCTGCTCAGCAGGCAGGACATCTGCAGCCCTCATGGATCCCCCAGCCCCAGGAACAGAAACACAGAGCATCAGAACTCCCAGAGAAGACACCAACAGCAGCACAATAAAGATCTTCATTATTTCTCCTTGACATTTTCATGACAGAATTCATGTAGAACATAAAAAAAGCACAAGGCATGTTTACTGGATGTTTTATAGTTCAATAAAACATAAATAAACAGCTTTTTAGATCAAAGCTGCAGAAATAAGGAAGCACTGTGGCTTCTGAGACCTGACCAATATATCACATCACCTGAAGTTGAAAGAAGCACTCCTGGCACTCCTGCTTTCCTCTGGAGCAATCCCACCTTCAAGGCACTGTGCCCAACCTCCACCTGGCCTCAGGGACTTCAACAAACAAGTACAACTGTGCTATTTTCAGTTTTCAGAGTGTCCTGTGAAGCCTCTTGGGATGAGACTTTGAGGTTTTATAAATAAACTAATAAAAAAGGAGCAATCAGTAACGTTTTCAGGAGGGCTCAGGATGGATTTTCTGTGTGTTCAGCAGCATTGCTGTCCAAGCACTGAGCTCATCCCACGCCATGAGGACCAGCCCAAAAATCCAGTTTTCCTTGAAAGACTTGCTTTGGATCCAGTCCTGGCCTTTCTGAGCAGCACAAGTCACTCTAAATCCCACACCAAAAGAGAAGACAAGCTCCCTCCAGGCTTTCACCTGCTCATGGATACACACCTTCCTTCTCTGCCTTTCCTGTGTGTTGGATGCAAACCTGAACCTGCAGGCAGGGGGATGACTGGAGTCCCAAGGGGGTCCCACTGGTTTTACTCACACTGCTCGTGGCATCCATGTGAGTATTTGGTGGATTGGGATTGCCTGTGATGCCACCAACCCCTGGAAACACAGATGTACCAATGTCTGGCTTAGTCATCCCCAAACCCAAAGTCTGATATAGTTTGGTTCTATCCTGAAAAACCTTTTCCCTCCCAGCTCAAAGAAGCAGCACATGATATCACACAGGGGGACTTCTGCTGCAGGCTCTGGGTTGCACCAGAACACACTCAGTGCTTCCCTGCACACATATTCCAGGATCCTGGGTGGTTTTCTTTCCCATTGCTACTAGAAAACGTGTGGCCTTTGAGCATTCCTGGTGCTCGTGCCTCCATCTGTGCCCTGCTCTGCCATTTACATCGTGTTCTGTGCATGGCTATAGGCTCTTGCAGTTATTTTGGTCCCACATCTCCTAATATGGGGTGGTGGGAACTGAAAATACCACACAGAGTTCATCTTGGTGTGTATTTATCAATCTGATGCCAGGGTATTGCTGGCCACTCCTAAAAATAGTTGTGTGCCCACCAAGACCAGGGCACCCCTTAAAGAGAACCAAACCAAAGCAAAACCCTCCAGGGAGGCACCTTCACCCAGGCACACCCCCAGACACCCCCAGACACCCAGGGACACTGGTGTGTCCCTCCTGAGGTAGAATGGACACCTCCTGTGTGCCCTGGAGCTCCCGGGTGCCAGGGGGGCACAGGAGAGCCTCGGGCTGCAGAACAAACCCCTTTGGATCACCCTTGCAGCTGCAAGGCACTGCCAGAGCACAGAGCTCTGCCTCTGCCACCAGGGCACTGGGGTTTGCACCAGGAAACTTGTCCTGCTGCCAGGGGGAGCAGCACATCCCAGGGCAGCCACCCAAAGTCTGGTCAACCCAGAGATCTCAGCTTAGAGATGAGGGAGATGTGACCCTCAGGTCGAGGCCAGGCTGGAGGGGGCTCTGAGCAGCCTGGTCTAGTCAGCAATGTCCCTGTTCATGGCAGAGGGACCTTTAAATGGCCCTTCCAACCCAAACCATTCCACGACTCCACGGCTCTCAGCAGCCAGGCCAAGCTGACGGGCAGCCCTCGATGGGCTGGAAAAGTCTCTGTTTGGGGAGGATTCTCCCCTGGGCTGAGGTTCCATCTGTGTGTCAGCACAGCCCACAGGGACACAAACCCCTTCCTGCAGGAGCTTCTCAGTGACTCAAACCCATCCAAACAGCAAATCCCTCCAAGCCCAGGCCCTGCTCCAGCCCCAAGGATTCCCAGGTCACGCTCACTCACAGTGGGAACAGCCCTTTCCCTGCCTCTGTGGTGACTGTGCCCAGCACCTGAAGGCCAGGCTGGGCTTTCTCTGCCTCACACATCATCACCCTCCTCCTCAATTAACTGGCAAGGCTGGTGATGATGCGTGAGGCCAAACAGAGCCCAGCCCGAGCTGCCAGGGATGCCTTGGCTCCGGGTGCTGACAGGGCTGGAAAAAAACTCCAGGCCAGTCTGAGAGAGCTGGATCCCGAATCCCTGCCCAGGGTTGGAGCTGCAGGAGCAGACAGGAGGTGGTGGGAGGCACGGGGGGGTGGACCATGACCAGGAGCTCGCCTGCAGCACTGAGGGGTGTGGGGGGACAGAAGGGTCCCTCACCTGCCTGGGAACCCCCTTTCCCAGCCCCTGCCCCTGCCCTGGGTAAGTCAGGGGGTGCCTGAGCTCAGTCCTGCCTGTTCTACCACAACACCAGGGTGGTCAGTGGGTCTCCCCCGAGCCTGGTGTGGGGAACACATGTGGCCACAGAGGACACACAGTGGATCAGATAATGCAGGGGGAGAAGAATTCCACCTTCTCCTCACATCTTCCTGAGCCAGCCCATCAGTGCCCAGTCCAGCAGTGTGGAGGAGAAACACTCTCCTGCATCCACCCCAGTGCTGCAGACAGACCAGGTTGTCCCTGTGCACACCAGAGTGGGTAATTTTATCCCAAATGTGCCTGTCTAAAAATATCTCACTTCTGTGTTTTTTGACCACATGCCCAGGATCGTGAAAATTTTTCCGTAGGAAAAAAAAAAAGCTGAAAAAAAACCCCCTTAAACCCATAACATCTTGGAATGATTTGACCACTTTCTTCTCAGGACATTCTCTCCTTTTTATACCATGATGGGGTTTCTCCTGAATTTAAAACATCAATTTGGCCTAACATGAGGAGAGTGTTCATTCTTCCAAACCGTAAAGATCAGAGACTATAAACTGTTGTTTCTTAAATGTTTCATGGCAAAAGGCATTCAAAGCGTAACATTAACACAAAGTTTTTCTGTAAAACAATCTGGGAAGTGTAATCTCTGTAAGAGGTTTTTTATGCACCATGGCTAATTGTTCCTGACAGTATGATTTTACATCAGGCCTTTTTTTGTAAATTCAACACCATTGGAACTTTATGGCAGGTAATATTCCTTACAACTCCTAAAATCCTCACCGTGTCTAAATTAGTGTTGCAGAATCATGTTTTGCGTTGGGTTTTTTTTTTTAACTACAAAACACTGGGAGCAAATTCTCTCCCGCCTTGCAGTTGTAGCACTGGAGGCAACTTTATGGAATTCTTCCACAGAGGGTTCTACAAGGAGCTTTTACACCTTTTGTGCACACCAAGGTGGGCCAAGGGCTCTGCCTGGAGCTGCTGGGCCATGGGACACATCAGGCTTGTGGTCACCTCTGCAGCAGAAGGGGTTGAGGAGGATGAAGACCCTTCCAGCCTTTGAGGCTGAACATGTGGCTCCTTAAAATGCAAATTCCAAACCCGCTTTAAAACGGCTGTGTTTGAAATGTCACAATTTCCCAGAGCCTGGCTCGGGGTTACCTCACCTGCACCAAGCCCAGGCTGCCAACAGGGGTTTTTTCAAGTGGTCACCAGAAGGCATTTCATGGGATCATGGAATGGTTTGGATTGGTTGGATGGGATCTTAAAGATCCTCTTGTTCCAACCCCACCACGGGCAGGGACACCTTCCACTAGCCCAGGCTGCTCCAAGCCCTGTCCAGCCTGGCCTTGGACACTCCTGCTGTCTCTCTAACCAGCACTGTTCCATTCCCCAGGGATTTCCTCTCATCCACACCTTTGGGGTCAGTTTATCCAGCCTGCCCTGCCAGGCTGAGTGACCTGTGCATGGGCCTGGCTCACATGCACACACACACACACACGAAAAATCTCCTTTCGACCACTGTACCTTATAAAATATGGGTTATAAAAACTTTATGGAGCCTGTTCCTCCGAGGGGCTCATTCCAGAGCACAGTATGCAAACCCAGCTCTTTTATGGCAGAGAAAGGGCTCGGTCTGTGCCGAGGCCTCGCAGGAATCAGGAACAGGATCGGGCTTCCAAAGGGACCACACAGCCCTGCCAGGGCTGCTCCCAGGGCAGCGAGTGGAGCTGTGCCTGAGGCTCACTGACAAGGCAGAAAACACTGCTGCTTTCTGCCTGGAATTCCTCCTCACCCCACCCGTGAGCAGCTCCATCCCAAGGGTCAGAAAGAAGGTGATGGAATCAAGAATGGGCCTTCAACAGGCACCACAGAGGGACAGCAATTCCAGAGAACCACGGGCAACCTGGAGCTGCCTTTGCCAGAGACAAAATTCCTCACCTGAGGTGGCTTCACCCAGCTCTGGGTCACCCTCAGCCAGGAGAGAAGGGAGCTCCAGAGGATGGAGCACATGGACTGATCTCCTCCAAAAAAGGGGAAGTAGACTCCCAGCAATTCCTATACCTGAGCATAACAGGAGCAATAATAAATGCTCAGGGTGTGAAACTTAGGAAAATTAGAGAGTAGACAGGGGTCAATACAGTGAATATGTAAAACAATTTACGTGGAGGCTCAGACTGAATCAAAATAGTTCCAGCTTTTTCTCCATCCACCCATCCATCCATCCATCCACCCATCCATCCATCCATCCATCCATCCCCCCATCCACCCACCCATCTATCCATCCACCCACCCATCCACCCATCCATCCATCCACCCATCCACCCATCCATCCACCCATCTATTCATCCCCTAAACACTTTCACTGGGGTTCCATCCTCTGTGCCTCCTCTTTGCTCCCTCTGGAACTCTCCCACCACGTCCCCTTGGAGCCTTTCCCAGATGACCTTGCCCTGCTGCAGTGACCTCCTGCCCTCCCTGCTTTCAAGTGTCGGTCTCAGCTTTGCCTCAGCCCTTGAACCCAACTCCTGGTTTGAAGCTCTGGCAAACAGGACACAGCAGGTGCTTCTGCAGGTGCAGCTGCTTCCAAAATGACACCGACTGAGTCTGAAATGTTTTTAGAATCCACACTATTTTCTGCACCCTGTATTAGAGACTCACTACTGGCCTATGTCTTGGGGTTATTCTGGGATAACTGGGGCATTTGTTTCTGAAGAGAACAAATTTGGGTCCAGTTCTACAGACAAACCAGCTCTAACCAGCAAAGCATTCCTGGCACAGGATCTGATCTCACCACTTTTCATGGGACTTCAGCTCACACTTGACTGTGCAGAGGGAGGCAGCAGCAGGAACTGAGGGAAGTATTTCAGGCTGCAAAACTGAGAATAAGAGAACACCAGCACCTTCTCCAGGGTCACCTGCCTGTGGTCTCTGCAAAGATAAAACAATCTTATGGTAATTCTGCAGGATGACATGGACAGTTACAGAGTCCCAAAGGCTGCTGAACTCCAGGGCTGTTCAGGTGCCTTTCCCTCAGTGTTTTACTACTTCTAACTGGAAGTTGATGTGAACCTGCTGCTGGACCTTCCCTGTCTGACCACATCCCAGCAGGGCAGAGCTGCCAGCCCAGCTGTGATGCCTCCTCCTGCCCCAGCTCCTCACTTACCAGACTGGAAGCAGCTGAAACTCTCCTCTGCTGGGTTCCTGAAGGATCTCTCACACCAGCAACATCCCCAGGGTTCTGTGGCACAGTGATGCTAAAAAAGATCAGTGATAACAAAGAACACCACTAATGACAATATTACAGAGGCCTCCCTGCTTTACTCTCATTCCTGATCCAGGCTGTTAATTTGGGTGATCTGGACTAGTTCACCCCCAGATTTGTTTTACACTTGTTCAGCAAATCACTTTCCTTGGCACAGACTTGAATTATTAATTATACTTTTTTTTTTTCCTAGGATGGAGAAGTTACTAAAAGGTTTCTTTCTTGTATAAAGCATTTTCGTGTTTGAGTATTAATTTTTAAAATCTCCTGTAAATCCACAGTGCTTTGCAGTTGTTTGCTTTAGCCCTTTGCAGATTTATCATTAAAGCTTGGGAGTGTGCACGCACAGGCACACACATCTATATAAACTTATACAAGTAGATGTTCACATATTTAGTCCTGTTCTTTTTATAGTGGCTCCCCAGGCACATGTGTCAGCCTTCCAACATCTGTCCTTCTTGAGAAACACCACTCAGTGTCTGCTGAGCTGAAGGGGGACAAGAAGTCTCTGTAATTTCAGGCCTGGGCTCATTTTCAGCAGAGGAAAAAGTCCTTTACAAGTCCAGAGGTCCATCCATCATTATCAGGTGAACACATCCATCCATCTCACCGGGGCAGCTTCCCTGGCACCTCATTTGGGAGGGAGACAGCAGGATTTTTGGTGGTGCAGTAACAAATACCACAAAATACAACATTAACATTGTGGGCAGCATTAAGTCCATACTGATTTCTTGGTCAGACAGACGCAGGGCAGCACTTCTGCTTTGTGTGCCCACTTCTGCTGGGAAATGGAGTATTTTAAAAGCTTCAGCAGCTCCATGAGGTCACTGTAGCTACAGAAAGCTGTAAAAACTGCCTGGGTTGATGGTTCAAGCAGCCACAGGTCTTTCTCATTACAGAACAGATATAACTCTATGAAATTATTATAATAATAACATCATTTATTTCAACAGGACCGAAGCAAAAAGGCTTTATGATAGTGTTTTATATGCAACATGTGCACTATAAATATTTCCATAAAAACATGCGTTAAAATATAAAGTTGGCAGAAAGAAATCAAAAGTCATGAGGAAAAAAAAAATCCAGTTAAAGAAGCATTAAACCATAAGCCAAGGAGCAGTGAGCAGTGAGCCCCTGCCAGTCAGGGCAACAGGCTGCTCTTTCTCTGCTTTCAGCTACTTCCCAGCACAAAGGAATGAGCCAAGATTCCATGGAGAAAGTCCCTGACAAACTCACACTCGCTTCCCCAGCCCGTCACTCCTTCCTCCTGGGAAGGTCAGTGCAGGCACCACAGGATCACAGAGTCACAGAACGGTTGGGGTTGGAAGGGAACTTAAAAACCACCTTGTTCCACCCCCCTGCCGTGGACAGGGGCACCTCCCACCAGCCCGGGTTGCTCCAAGCCTGGCCTTGCCCTCTGCCAGGGATGGGGAGCCCGTGGGGAGCCCCAGGCAGGAGCAGGTGGCTGAGGCAGAAGCTGAACCCAGACCTCAAAGAGCACCAGGAGACCGTCCAGGGCTGCCTTTGCACTCCCTGACACAGGACTCTGCCTGTCCAGGGCTCTCTGACCCTGCCAAGTGCAGTTCTGCTCCACACAGAACTGTTGTGATCCCTGTTGTGATCCCTGTTGTGATCCCTGTTGTTTCTGAAGGAAACCCTCTGCCTTTCTGGTCCATATCAGGCAGAAAGTGCTGCCCCTTGACCTCTCTCCTGCCCTCCCTCCCTCCCTCCCTCTAAGCACCAGTTCCTAAACTGGTCACAGTTATTGGTCCCTTCTGGCTTCAAATACAGAATCATGGAATACCCTGAGCTGGAAGGGACCCACAAGGACCATCCAGTCCCACCCCTGGCCCTGCACAGACACCCCAACAATCCCCCCCTGTCCTTCAGAGCGTTATCCAAACCCTCCTGGAGCTCTGGCAGCCTTGGGGCTGTGCCCACTGCCCTGGGGAGCCTGGGCAGTGCCCAACCAGCCTCTGGGGGAAGAACCTTTTCCTGAGATCCAACCTGAGCCTGCCCTGACACAGCTCCAGCCCTTCCCTGGGTCCTGTCCCTGCTCACACAGAGCAGAGCTCGGAGCTGCCCCTGGGGAGGAAGCTGCAGACAGAGAAGCTGTGAAGTCTCTGCTCAGTCTCCTCTTCTCCTGGATCACCAGAGTCCAGCTCCTGAACATAAAAAACATGGATAAATCCAACAAAGGCACGGAAAGGAGCTGTGTGTGCTCTGCTGTTGAACTCACCCAGGAGCTGCCAGGTCCCCCCCAGGTCCGTGCAGCCCCGTGGGAGCTGGAAGGCTCCAGGGTTTGGCTGCCAGCCCCCCAGGCACTGTTTACACCAGCAGCACCCACACAACACAATCCTGCTTCCCAGGCCAATTCTGCTGTAATACATCATCCCCCAGCAGACTTGTCAGATTGGTTTGTCTACAAATATGTTCACACTTGGAAATATCTGCCTTCTGTGAGCAGCAATCCATTAAACATGCATCTCTCTGGTTTTCCCATCTTGCTCTCTGTACATAAAATCAGTTCTCTTCTTTTGTCCCCAGCAAATGCCTATTCCACATTTTTGCATGTTTTAAATATTCACGCATACGAAAGAAGCTGTAAAAACATTGCATGGCTTATTTATTATTTAGTGCACACACTTTTTGCTGCAGAATGCCAAAATAAAAAGACATTTTAACTCAATTTTTTTTTTCATTCCCTTTGTATTTCATTTCCATTACTCCGCTCGTTAAAGTTTAAAAACTACTTTGTTCCCTGACAGTGGGGATTTACGTGTCCCTGAGCCAGGGAACACATTTGTACCTGCTAGGGCAGTGGCAGAGGTGGGGGTGAGACGCTGAGGGAACTTTTGGCTCCTCACCTGAGGGTGCAGGGAAGCTCCAATCCCGCTGGTGTGGCTGCTGGAGGTGCAGAGCTCCCCATGTCCCTCAGGAAGCAATCCCAGTGTTAAATTATCTTCATGCACCCCCAGTTCCTGTTGTTTTTACAATTTCACTCTCCACAAACCCCTCATTCACTCCAGGAATCACCTGTGCAGAAAATCCCTGGCTGGCTGGATCTCCCTGTGGTATCAGAGAGTGGATTAAACTTTCCAAGTGCCCTGAACAACCCCCCAGCACTCTCAGGAGGTGGGCAGGGTGCCACCACGCCATGGCAGAGATGTTGTCCACCCAGCAGGCACAGCCAGGGAGCCTTCCCTGAGTCCTGACCTGAGGAGACCACCCATGGGAGTGAGTGGGCTCTGCCTCCGTGGTGCTTCCCCAGCTCTCCTGGCCACTGATCCCTCTCCAGCCCTGCCAGGAGGTCCAGGCACCTTTCCATCAGCTCCATCAGGAGCTGGAGTGGGCCCAGGAGCTGTGCTCACACAGGTCACTCAGCAGGCAGAGCTACCAGCCTGGGCTGCAGTCACAGCACTGGCCCCAAGGACTGGCTGGGCTTCCAAGGGACATGGAAAGAGCTGGATCTGCTCTTGTAAAAAGCACCTGGTGTTTCAGAGAACGGTCCTTGCTCCTGGATCAGGTGGTTGGGAGCTTGTTCCCAGGCCCAGGCTGCAACAGCACCCAGGGAAGGGCAGTGCAGGAGGGTTTAGCATATTCATGTGCTATTTTATAACATAGAAGTTTACCAGCACATTGTAAAGCACCTGAAACGTGCTGCACAAACACATAGTTGTGTCTTGTGGAATACAGTCATGTCTTGCCCGGGAGCTGCACCAGGGAACTTAAAATACACTTTCTGTTATTTTAATCTGGGAGTTTTGCACCATCCCCCCCCCCCCCCCCAGAATCTGCAAATCCTTTCTGTCCCTGCCTCTGAGACGTGCACACATCCCTGCACACACAGTGCACAACTGCAACGCCAAAGCCTTGCCCCCTCTCCCAGCAAGAAGTTATTTCCTGATAACAGGGAACAACACCATCATTCCAGGCAGTTCAGATGCACTGATACGAGACAAGTCACCCAAGGTCCCCAGCCTTACAGTGGGATGGGAGAGGACACGACCAACCTCACTGATTCCAAGGAATGCCATTATTAAATCCACGGAGCCGAGCTTGAAACGATGGAGGATTTTCCTCGTGGCCACATCCTGTGTTCAAAGCACAACAGGCGTTTTCTGGGACATTCTCCTCACTTCTGACTTTCTAATTTCCCTCGAGGTATTGACTGGGGAGCTCGGGAGTCTCCTCACTGGCACGTTGTTGTTCCCAAACCGTGGCAGGATCCTGCCCGGCGTTAAATGTTAACTGATTACCCAGGGACAGCATAATTACACATTAATTGGTGCACAGGGGTATTTAGGAGGCAGGATGTCAGTGACCTCCCGTGTGCTCCTCCAGCTCCCAGCCCTGGCTGGAGGGGGACCCTTCTCTCAACAGCCTTGTAACTCAAGTGTTACACCCGGGCTACTCCAGATCAAAGCAGGAGTCAGAGAGGGCAGCCCAGGCTCCCCCCAGCCCTGGTTTATCAGGGAGAAGCACAGACAGACCCTCCCACTGCTGCTGCTCTGGGATGGGGAGCTCAGGGATTTAAGGCAGGGCTCGTTTCTAATGAAGGGCTGGGGGTGGCCAAGCCAATAAGTGCAACAACCACCGAGTGCCTCCCAGTTCTCAGGGCAAAAAAAACCTCCTCAAATCCTGCTGTGTGTGTGCACAAGTGCGTGTGAGTGTGCCTGGAGCACTGAACGCTGCAAAGGGAGTGAAGGATCAGGTAATCCTGGAAGACAGAAAGAATAGAAAAACACAACGGGATTCTGGAACGTTTCAGTGTCCTGTTGACTCATAAGATTGGAGCAGACAGGTACAGCCCAAAGACAGCATGATCTAAATGTGGGCCAAGCTCTAACACACAGCAGGAATGTCTAATTTTAGTCTGTCCAGTTTTGGCAATGTCACCTTTAATTGCATGGCTCATTTGAATTGTAAAACACCTTTAAAAGCTAACTAGTAAAAGGAAATAGGCCATATTTTCTAGACTAACAGTCATATTCA